GGGCGAATATCCGATGAAATGGGGGCCAGAGTTGGGGGGGCCTAGATATGATGATAGATTGGGAGTAAGGGTTGAGAGTAGGGGGGAGGAGTATTGTATCTGGGCGCAGAGGATCGACGAACAGAGGTTTGGGCTGAGAGAGACGGCTTGATCCGGGATCGGGAGAGTGGCGGGGGTAGAGATCCGATGAGGGGATCGGGGTAAGCGGATTTAGGAAAAATCATAAAAGATCGTAGATTGGGGGCAGGGGCTGGGAGGGACTTAGCCGGAGGGTGGGGTGAAATGAAAAAAAAGGGTGAGTATGGGTGGGGTCTGAGTTGCCAGCGCTAGGGGTAGGGGGAGAATTCTTCGGTGAGAAGTCAGTGAGAGGTTGGAGGAGTGTCCGTTCTATACGGTGGAGAAGAGAGGAGGTTAGAGAGAGAGAGGACAGGTGAGGTGAGGGAGAAAATAAATTTTCAGTTTCGGTTAGCTCTCACTTCATGTTGCTTCGTTGTCGAATCGCTGTCGCTTTGCTATCACTTCGTTGTCGCGTTGTTGTGTGTCGGGAGATGACCTCAAAATAGCATTCTTCTTCCTCATGCGGTCTGCTCTTGAGGTGTCGTGCAGAAGGCACACTTTGAAAAGGACACTGCCACTTGATTGCCACTTGATTGCTCACTTGACTGGATCCTCTTTGTACCTGATGCTGCCGTTCCCTGGCCTGGGGGGAGGCACCCCTTGCTCACCGAGTTCTCTCCTCCCCTTGGCCAAGACCACAGTTAGGTACTGGAGAGATCCTTGTGTCGTTTATCCTCATTGCACCCGTCTTGCCATGATGACCTAGACGCGCGCGCCTGGCGCGCGCCTGTGGGTGTCCTCGTAGGAACGTCCGGCTATGGCTAGGGTGCTTGATTGGATGAGTCGACTTGTGTGTCGCTTTCCGGAATCGGGGTTGGCGCGAACACGGTCGCGGCGAGGGCCCAACATTTGAAATCGAAGTGTTGGAATTGGCGCCCGCGTGCGGGCGGGGGGGCCCGCGCTGCTAGCGCAAACTAGCGCTATTTTCAGCGCTTACCGAAGGCGCCGCCCCCCCCCTCCATTTCTATCTTACCTCATGCGAGGAACATTACTCTCTACTGGAGCAACCTGACCAGACAGCGGATGCGGGTGCTGACGCTGAATGAGCTCCCCCATTCAGCCCCAGTTGAGGCACTAGCTTACAAGCCTCGTTATATGGGAACCTCGGGAGCTAGGCGAATAGTTCTCAACTAGTCCCGTGAGCAGTGAGGGCACTCATAGGCAGTGTCTAATGGTCGGCTAACCAAGCTCTAACCCATGAGCCCCCTACCTCTAAGTACCAACCCAGCACGGCGCGGTTCATATATGGCTACTGTTGGTTGTTGAAGATGCTGGTTGTTATGTGAGCTAGTGCGATATTATAGTCTGTATGTATGTGGTTGCTTTCTGTGAGCTAGTCTGATATCATAGTCTGTATGGATGTATGTGGTTGCTTTCTGCTACTAATGAGCCTTGCTTTTGTCTGTTCGCTAGGGAGAATCGACTTAGCGATAATGGTGGAGACCTCGACCCTCGCCAACTACCCCCGACCACCTCTGATAGCCGACCACCCCAGAATGGGTCTACTGACATCGAGAGTAGGACACACCTCTTAATTCCACATTGGTTTCCCTACACGGCACCCCTGCCCACCAAAGGACTGCCACGGTATCACCATGCACCCAAACAACCCCTTACCACTCTCCGACCCGAGAGAGTAGCATCCATCCCTCGTCAACTCTCCCGTAGGAAAGGCACACGTCCCCACCCAAATCCGTCCAGAAGATCATCCCAATAGCCACCCTAACGCTTTGCCCTGTTACAGCGAGAGGAAACCCAGGACGGCATTGATTGCCTCCTTCAGGAGGCATTGACTTCTGGGTAAGCCCAAGCCATTCATCATCCCCTTCCTGCCCTGTTTATCTTTACCTTCCATGAAGAAAAAGAACTATGGCAGAGTCAGGCTCTCGAGCTTCAAGTGGCGTACGAAACTCAGAACAGCACTTTTATCACTGCCTGAGTTTCAAATGCTGAAATAACTCAGTCCAGCAAAAGGTGTCAGAATTTTAAATGCAGTTCTGTCAACGCCATGTTCAAGGACCTGGCCGAGGCCCATGGTCCACACCACAGGGTTGTCCTTCCCGATCAAGGGGGCTTAGGGAGCTGTGTAAAATCCCAGGTACCCCAGCTGCCGCACCTTTTGATTCCAACTTCCGGTGACAAAAAATTTCTAAAGAATCAGGAATGTTGGTTAGGTCCCTCTACATACGGGAAAAAATATACAAAAATCATAAGAATGGCTTGGCCATTCTTCATTAAAGCCATTCAACGAACATTCTTATCGTAACATTATCAGGAGCTCTTACTACCCACTTATGTACATATATTTCAGCTGCCCTAATTTCCTTAGCCTTTCTCCAAACCTTCTGTGCAGATCTGTTTCTTTTGCTAATTGCAATAATACATCTGAACTTCCAGATTTCCTTCAAGTTATGTCTGTGTAACATTTCAATATTGATATGAAATTTTGTTGGTGCATTTTTGGTTAAGATCACTCATTTTCTCAATCCCACTGTGCTGCTTGTGTTGAATGTGTTCGTTGTGTTTTTCTCATGTTCCAGTACCTATCCTTCTTTCACACCTAGCTTGATCAAATCCCATCCCATAAGCCACACGCACAGCCCCACTGTCCAACTCTCTACCCCTCTCCCTTCCACTCCTTAAATTCCCTCCCTTGCTGCCAGTCACAGGCAGACACCTGCCATCAGGCCTGCATCCTGCAGATACGAATTCTCTAGACCCACCAGATGTCTCCCACACTCTTTCCCAACCCATCTGAACTTTCAGGATGCATGGCCTAGTTTGTAACTTTGCATCCAATTACAAGCTGAGAACACTCACACCATAACGGGAGCATATTGCCACATTGTGCAGGTGTAGAATTGGACTGCTGTTTGTTCCTCACCTCCACCGTAAACCTCTTGAGGAATGGGGCACCCGTCCGACATCTGACAATCCTCCCACTGTAGCTCACGCCTCTCACTCCAAGAGCGGTTGTATATCTCATCCAGCCTGTGATATTTCGGTGGCCTCTTTCTTGGGAAATCACCATTGTGGAGCCAGGACAGGAGCTCTTCAGGAGTAGCCTGTGACCCATTTGGGGATAAGAGCATCTCCTTCGCAAGCAGATCCTGAGAGCCTCTGTATTTACCAAGAGCTTGAACCTGGTCCGTTACATTTCCGAGAAACTTGCTTATGAACGAAGTCAACGCATCAGAATTGTTTGCCAAAGACTTGGCCAGGTAGTATTCATAACTCCCAGGCTCCGATTCAAGGAGTGTGTTAGGCAGCACTCCCATGATATCCATCAGATCGAGGAGGACCTCATCGCTGGGTACAGACGAGTTTTGCTGCACACCAGTCTCACTCCCGGCACGGCCCCACATCTGACCTTCACCATGGCCCAGTTCGAGATCTTCCATCTCTAGGCCAACTGTTTCGAATTGTGAGGTATGCACATCCTTAGCACCGGATAGAGATTTCCTGGGCTTTGAATCCAAACTTTTCAGTGAAGAAATGTAAGAGCGGGTGCCAGCTTGAGGTTTTCCTGAGATTTTCAAATTTTCCCTGGTAGTTGGAAACATAGACTCCTGCCATGGGCCAAAAGGGTCAAGTGGATCAAACACTCTGCCATCCACGGGTTGATCATACTCGAGGGATGATGCGCGGACAGATTCATTTTGCTGATGATGTTTTCCATCCTTCCTTGCCAACCATTCATAAGGTATGAACTGCATTCCAGAAAGTGCGAAGCCATTCTTTCCTGGAGTTGGAACAGAGAGTGAAAGTCTTCCGACATGAGACGAGTATGCCTTCCTGCCTGCCTGTTGCTTTTTGCGGAAGCCCGTAGTGCCTGGTCCACCTGAATATCGGCCACCGGGAGGTCTCCACCTTAGCTGAAGGCGCTTAGCACCACCAGATTGAAAGTACTGCACGTAGATTCGATTCCAGGAATTGGGTATTCTGTTGTAAAATGTTCCATATGACAGCTGAGATGCATGCACAGAATCGTCTTCAAGTACTTGCTCGTCGTTGATGAACACCCGAACACCATCATCTGAGTAGCAGTAGAACTGCATCACCCCACAAGTTATGAAAGAATTGAATGAATAGTTCAACCTGTCAGTGTATTTGCTTCCCCCCCCTCCATCCACACCGCATCTACCTCTCCCTACCTCATTTCTGCAATGCCATTATGGTGAACCACAACACCTTATCAACAAGTATGGGGGAACAGAAGAATCCGCCAAGGGAAAGAGGTGACTATGCTGGTCGTGCGAGCTAGAGCAGTGGAGAACCTGCGGGTGGCCATTCTGGTGGATCTACAGAAGTGCCAACGCAAATCGGGGAATGATGACAGCAAATTTTGGAGGATCTGGGGGGTCTATCCCAGGCTCGCTAAGAAGGACCCTGCAACTGGTAGAATGGTTTTTGGCCCTACGCTTAAAAAATATGCTGTAAGTGAGGAAGAATAGGCCCCAGGTCACCTTGTACCATGGAGGATGATGGGATAGTGAATACTATATAATATGGTAGTAGGCTAGTAGCATGGACCTGTACCATGGGTAGTGGAGGTGTTATGGGGAAGACAGGGAGAGCTATAGGAAAGAGATTTAAAAAATTAGGTGAAAAATAAAGTGAATGCTGGGTGCAGGACATTGTAACATTGAAAAGGTGAGGGCTTGATTTGGATTGGCCTCGGGTACCCACAAAGAGAATTCTGGGTGGCCTGAAGAGATATCGGAAAGAGCTTTGAAAGATAAGGTGAACAACAAAGTGAATGCTGAGTGATGGGACATCGTAACGCTGAAAAGGTGCGGGCTTGATTTGGATTGGCCAATAGAGAGTTGAGAGGAGGGCTGAATGGGATTTGCCAATAGAGAGGTGCACGACAACTGTTAGGAGGTAAAGGGAAGGGATTGGGTACGTATGGGATCAACAGATGTGGCTAAATCTCTGTATGTAGAGGTATAGGGTGAGAACCTCGAGATCAGGACTTAGGTGGTATAGTCACAGGAGGGTGAAAGGAACAAAGATTGGAGGCCTAGAGACGGGAGGTGCAGTCCTGTGCGCTGGCGTTGCCCCCCCCCCGGGACCCTCGTAATGTGTATCTGGTACAGTATGGATGTTTCCTGGCCATTATGGGAGCCCTGGTTGGGAGGTCAAGTAATGGGTTGCCGAACTGCCCTCCCCCCCTGCCCCCCCTAAAAGTGTCTCGTGCGGCAGGGGTAGTAGGCTGGTCTCGCTGCATCTGTGCTCTCTCTCTCTTTCTATTCTGAACATTTGAATGCCAGTGATAAGCAAGCAGACTGTTTCCCCCCAGAATAGGCGAGGCCTAGATTCCTTCAAAAAACATAACAAACAAGTAAAAAAAATGCATGAGTGATTCATAGGATTCAACCCATACGTACAACTAGAAGGCACAGGCAGTGAAATCTGAGAGCCTGAAAGGATGGAGAAAGAGATTTGTTGTGGTTCAGGGTAGAACACGCAGAAGCCCATACTCTGCCACAACACTTCAAGACACATAAGCTGAATGTCCATTCTGGGAAATACTGGGAAAACGAGAAAGAAACATTAGTATTGGTCATTGTCAGAACAGGATTGTTTCACTTTGATCTGTCATTGGTACAGAGTATTCCAACAAGATGAAGCCGAAGTCCGTTCACAAGTGTGCTTTACAGATGAGACAGGTGGCAGCCATTGTTTTCACAAAGACAGTAGGAGAATCGATAAATCCGAAGCTCTTATGTTGTGTCACCTAACCTTACATTGACTTCTCACTCAAGGGAGCTAAGGCAGCACCCTCGGTTTCTGGCCTATCCATGAAGAATATGAAACAATTTCACGATGTTCCAAAGTCCTGAGTCCCGGTCCCAGAGTCCCCCCCAGTTCCTGATTGGTCCCGGCAGGCCCCAGGTCTAGGTCCTAGGAGTCCGGTAGGCCCTAGCGGCCGAAGCATTGTAGATTCATTGGGTCTATTGGGTCTAGTAGTGAGGTTGGTAGAAGTCGTAGAACCGGTACCCGACAAACAAAGACTGAAGTGTTATGACCCTGGCCAATTTCGAGATACACATCCACCGGAAAGTACAATGCCATCCAATTGCAGAAAGAAATGAATGAACTTGAGAGGAGAGAGAGAGGATTAGAAGAAGAAGAAGAAGATGTACACCAGCAAAGACAATGGCAAGGCTCTTCTTCTTCGCACAACAATCTCCTCCTCCTTATCTCCCCCTTCTCTTATTCATACAAGAAATAATAATACAATGTTGGATGACTGATCCAGAATCAATGTCCGAGTCCCACTTCTACTGCAGGTATCACTGAAGGTCCACCATAGCCATGACCGCCTCTCCCACTCTTTACTCTCATAGGCCGAGGCTATGGCGGACTACTGGGCTCTGCTCAGATGCCCAAAGGACAACCCAAAGCAGCTATGGCTGCTCTAGCTCAGGCCGCCATGCCTGCCCCTGCCCCGAAGCTTCTTGGTGTAGCTCTCCCCTGCTGGGGACTCCTTGCTGCAGCGCTCACCAAGGTGATGAAGATGGCTGCCACCATAGCCAGGTAAGTACCCCTGGCGCTCCTCCCCCTTCCTTCCTTCTTCCTCCTTCTTCCTCCCTCGTGTCCTTCTTCCTCCCCAGCAGCGCTACTCCAGCTTAGCGCTGCTCCAGCCAGCGCTCCACCAGTGTGTCGCCAAACTTGCACACCGAAAAAGAGGCCGGACTCTCCGCCCGGCCAGAAGATATAGCGGCCTGCTTTGCCTCTTGGGCGGTGACTTCCAGGCCGCTCGGCCTCCCAAGCAACCGGTACCTCCTCCCTTTCGGAGGGAAACATCATTGCAGACTCTGATATTGCCCGTACAGGCCCTAGACCCAGACTGGTTGGACTGATATCTGCCTAGACCTAACCTACAACTACTGGGCCTCTAAAAATGCCACTTTTGTCTTCTTCTGCTCGGCCTCCGGTACCTGCACATCTACCCCTTCCAGGTGCGGTACCGGCCTACCCGCTACTTGAGTGTTGTTTTTTTTCCCGCTGCAACCCTTCAATGTCACGGCCACAGGTAAGTACCGGCCCTGAGGGCCCAACGAACGAGCAAGTGCCCTGACGGGCCACACACATACTCATGCCAACCAGCACTCAGACAGGTACGGTCATACACACACCCAAGCCAACCAACACTCAGACAGGCATGGTCACACGCACACTCCAGCACTCAGACAGACATGCAGCCCAGCAAGCGTGCACACACAGACTTAGTGGCAAGCGGGAAACTCAGCAAGGCATTCAGTCTATGAGCAAAACTCAGAAATCAGTTGTGTGTTTCAGTCCATGTTTGGACAGGTCATCACAGAAGTCCCAAAGTCCAATTTTGCAGCAGCATTCAGGGAAAGTCCGGTAAGTTCCGGAACTGGCAACTGCGGCCAAAAGGCCGCATCGACCAGTACCGGTCTGGAGCCGACAACGATTCACTTCAGCTGCTAGCTATAGTTGCTACAGTGCTTCATCGGGTCACTTGTCAATCCGCATTTTGGGGAAGCGCTGTTGTAGCGCTTGTGCGACCAACGGGTTGGACAGTCAGATGGATGTGAAAGACACAGGGTGATCAGGCGCCCAGCTCGGTTACATCAGGAAGACAACGGCGTCCATAGCCGCAAGGTTGAGGCTGATGCCGAAAGAGGGCTAAGCAGGTGTATTCAGGAAGGGAAAGTGAGTAATTAAAAGAGCAACAGAGCGCGCGCGCGCGCGAGAGAGAGAGAGAGAAAGAGAGAGAGGAGTAGGTAAGCATGAGCGCCTGAAGACCTGAGAGAGTGAGAGAGGTAGCGCGAGAGAGGGTAAGAGAGCGAGAGAGAGGGGCAAGAGATTACACATTCAGTTCATTGGCGATAGCGGTCATAACAGCTTGTAATACTAAAGTTTTGGGAGGCGGTTATCACCTTCTTGTGTGCTGATCTGTTGTTCAATCCTTGGTGTGAATCTTCGGTGAAAGCGTGTAGCAAGTGCAATAGATATTTGTTTGCAGTTGGTTTATTCAACTATGTCATATAGTTATAGTAGTTAAACACTGCTGTTAGTCCAACAAGAATATGATGGTTGAAAATTTGCCATGGTAACCGCGGAACCCGACACCGGACACTTCCGGAATGTCTTCTCGACTAGTGTCTGGACCGGTCCGGACATCACCGGACACCCGGACAGGCCGGACAGGTGCCAGGGGGTGCAAAATGTCTGGACCAAAAAAACAAAAAAACAAAACGGGGGGGGGGGGGGGGGGGGGGGGGGGGGGGGGGGGGGTTGGCAGGCGCTTACCTGCTTTGCACTTCGTAGTTCAGGCAGCACAGCACCTGTTTTGCAGCAAATCAACAAGCACATTTAACTAGCAGACATACAGAGTTGCAAACAGTGCAAAGCAGGCACAAGACTAAAGAAACAGAGAATTGTTTTCTGAAAAAAGTATGGTTAACTTTGAACTTTGGATTTAGTAATTTAAGTTCATAACTTCATATATAACTTAGAAGTTCGAACTTTGGCAGTTCAATTCAGAACGTCAGAGTCTTCAGACTGGCAGCACTGTCAGTGCTCTCTCTCTCTCTCTCCCTCTCTCTCTCTCTCTCTCTCTGTCTGTGTCTCTGCAATCAGACTCGCTATCTTTCACACTTCACATGCATGCAAACAGGTGCACAGCAAACTGGCGACAAGCGCCCACTTAAAACTCAGAAATATGGTAGCCGAGAACACAGTTCAGATACAGGTTCACTTCAATGGCTATGGCGACTCAGCGCCCACACAACTCTCTGTTCGCACACACAGGATCACCCTGGATTCCCCACGCACGATAATCTGTACACACACACACACACACACACACACACGCTGAACTCTACCTACAGCTATGGCGGCTATGGCCGCTGCTACCCTATTGCTATGGCTAAACCCCTTCTCTCTCGCCCACTTTGTCTTCGGGCTCACTGCAGACCACCTAGCACAAGTCGCTGTGGCAGCGCACGGAGGAATGAGTGAATGGCTGGGCGCTGCCTCTTGCTTTATACTTCTGTAGTCCGTTGATCTGGCCCTTTCCCATGCCCGTAGTGCACACAGTCCCATGCGGTACTTGCTTGACTGGACTAGGACTGACTGGGACTGGGATGGCTGACTCAGCACGGGTAGACTCCACCACTTGCCTCAGCCTAAACGTGGGCAACTTCGAAAGGCCACTACTAGGACCTTCCGGAAGGCTGTGGACTTGGCCTTTCGATACTGTAGCAGCTACGACCTTGACCCTTCAGGACTGTAGCAGCTACTACCTTGACCTTTCGGAGGAGCTGCGGCTACGACTCCTAGACCCTGCTAAGACTCCTACCGGACACGTCTACGGATCGAACCCCTACTACCTACAGACCCTACGACAGTCTACTAACTGTTACAAATACACAGGTCGCGGGTTCAACTCTAGGGGTCGACACAGGTACTGTACACAGGTAAGGTGAGAACTAGGGATCGAGCCCTGGGATCTGCCTCGGCTACTGCAAACAGGTGAATACCGTTTCACTCCCGCCGGCCTAAATACGAGGTCCTCCGAGAATAACTCAGTCCAAGGCAGGACCTTTTCCCTTCTTATCTCTCTCGTAGGCTCTAACTACGTCGGGAGCTGTTTCTAGAAGTTCTGCTCTGGTAAACCAGCGGTCGTCCTCTCATTCCTAATAAGCAAACCGGACTTTATATTGTTTCTGTGTGCGACCTCTACCTCCTGTTCTAAACACATCTTCACCTACGATGCCGTCAATGTCGTACCTCCCGTCCATGTCTGGAGGTATCATGGACCGTCTAGATGGAAACTGCTGACTTGTGACACACGGCAGCAACTTTGATGCATGAAATACAGGGTAGGTGTGGAGGAGTGCTGGGATCTCTACTGTGTAGGACGGCCCATCTTCTCCGCCCTTAACTTCTAGAATTGGCCACGGTCCTCTATGGGCAGCAACTTCTGCGAGATGTTTTCCTCAGGAGCAAACTCTTTGGACTTGACCCAGACTAAGTCGCCTACTTGGAACTGTGACGGGCGACGATGCTTATTAGCCTGTTCGATCATTCGATGCTGAGCCTTCCTGAGGTTCTCAACAACTGCAGCTAGCTCTCTCTCGTGTTGTATCGCAAACTCCCTGGTACCGGGAGGTAGCCTATGAATCTGATCCCTGTTAAGTCCTTCAAACGGTCTACATGGTCTAAATTACTTGTGCAACTCGTTGGGAGTGCGACAGGTGGACAAATGCGCGCTGTTATTGTACGCACTGGCTAGCTTGGGTAACATCTCGTCCTAGTTGATCTGATCGGGTCTAATGTACATACGCAGAACTTGCTGCAGGACCTTGTTCATCTGCTTAGTCTGACTGTTAGTCTCTGGATGACGGCGAGACGACATCAACAACTTGGATCCATAGACTTTCATCAATTCCTGCAAGTTCTGGCTAGTGAAGCGACTATCTCTAGCACTAACTACAAACAACGGGACTCCATGCTCACTAACCCAAAAGTCAAAAAATTCCTGAATCACTATTTCGGTGCGTGCCTCTGCAGGCAAAGGAACAAAAACAACATACTTACTAAATCTATCGACTATGACCATGATTTGGCTCTTGAGGTCCCTACTCTTGACGCCAGCGTCCATAAAGTCAATGGAAACTGAATCTCCTGGCTGATCAGGAATAGGCAAGGGTCTAAGAAGACCTAGAGGGGCACGCGTAGTAGTCTTGTTCCTCTAGCAGACCTTACAACTACGGACATACTCTATGTAGTCGTTCTTCATTCCTGACCATGTATACGCGTGCATTAGATTGGCTAGAGTATTTTGCCAACCGAAGTGTCCCTCTGTGTCGTGGCATTCCCCTAGGATCAAACTACGGATCCCCTCGCTGTTAGGAATGCACAAACGATCTACTACATTGGTTTTCTCAAATAGCAACCCTCCTGTAGTGCGGTAATCTAGCTCTGTCTCTGGGGCCTCCTTAACCCTCTTGAGGAGGTCACTATAGATAGGGTCCTGCACATACGCCTGTCTAACTTTCTCCTGCAGGTCACTCCCTATGTCCAGATAGTGAACTATAGCTCCAAAGTAGTCTGATATCCTACTTAGAGCATCCGCACCTACATTGTACTTGCCTTTCACAGGCTTGAGCTCAAAGTCGTACTGGTCTATCTTAGCGGCCCACCTAGTCAACTTAGGTGTCATCTTGGCTTGTGTCTTCAGCCATCTAAGTGTCTCGTGGTCTGAATACACCTTGAAGTGCCTCCCAAGCAGGTAATGCTTCCAGTGCTCTAAGGCCTGCCTGAGAGCGTAGAGTTCCCTCTCATACGTCGAGGTAGCGACCTTCTCTGAGGGCATCCTCGCTGACATGAACTCTACGGGTCTATAACCATTGTCGTCGTCCTGTTGTAATACGACGCCTATTCCATATTGACTCGCGTCCCTGGTGATGAGAAATGGCAAGGACGGATCTACTACTTTGAGGACAGGGTATTCTATCAACGCGCGCTTTAATTTCTTTAGTGCAGACACGCACTCTTTATCCCACTGCCATATTGCCTCTTTCTTGAGCAACCTGCGAAGGGGAGCGGCGATAGTCGAGAAGTTCCTTACGAACTTCCTATAGTAGTTAGCTAGGCCTAGGAACGACCGCAACTCTGTCAATGTGCGGGGCGTCGGCCAGTCTCTAATCGCCGCTATCTTGCTGTCCTCAGGCTTAATGCCATCTCCGTCTAACATGTGGCCCAAGTACAGGACTTGTGTCTTGGCCCACTCGCACTTCTTTGCGTTGATCTTGAAGTTAGCCTCCCTCAGCTTCTCCAAGACCTACCTCAAATGACCCTGGTGCTCTTGGAGGGTCCTATTGAACACTAAGATATCGTCCAAGTATACTACAACGAATCTGTCTAACCAAGGCCTAAACAGATCGTTCATACATCGCTGAAATGTAGCTGGCACATTGGTCAGTCCAAAGGGCATCACTATGAACTCATAATGCCCATATCTAGTCCGGAAAGTAGTCTTGTACTGGTCATCAGGATGGACCTCTATCTCATGATACCCGGACTTTAACTCTATCTTTGAAAAATATCTGCACCCCTGCACCCGATCTAAAAGATCGTCTATCTTAGGCAGTGGCTCAACGCTCTTTACTGTGATCGCATTCAGACCCCTATAGTCTATACACATTCGCAACTCTCCATCCTTCTTGGGGACAAACAAAACTGGTGCTCCAAAAGGAGACGAACTGGGCCTAATCCAACCTTTCTCAAGGAGCTCGTCCAACTGCTTGCGCAATTCCTCTAACTCCCTAAGGGACATCCTGTAAACTGCTCCCTTAGGAGTTCTACTGCCAGGCTCTATCTCTATCCTGTGTTGGATCGGCCGCGACACTACTCCTGTCGGCGGCTCTGTCAGATCTTTAAACTCTTCCAACAGCTTGGCAATGGCTGGATCCATGGAACTATCCTCTTCTTTAGGCTCAGTGACAGGTCTGACATACACTACGAAGACCTGATCCTCTAATGGCTCCTTTCTCACTAGTCGCGCGAACGCAGGAGCACTGAGACGACAATGTGCCAGCGAGTTATCTACTCCAGACACATGAAACAGGCGGGCAATCTTAACCTCGCCTGACAAACTAGGGAGCCTACACTCATGCTCTCTCAAGTGGAGTGTGGCCCCTGCTGCCTCTCCCCAGTCCATACCTACGACTATGTCGAAAGGAAGGTCATCATGTACGAGGAGAGTCAGGGAATGGAGAACTTTCTCCACCTTCCCATCTTTCTCTAGGCGGAAATACGCCTGGACTCCCTCTACGTAGTCCTCAACACGCATAGTGTGGTTGTCTGCGAGGACACTAACTATGGGGTCTTCCAACTTTTGGACTTTCAATCCTAGCCTCAACTTCTTCAGCGCTTTACGGCTAATATAACTGTGGGTGGCCCCTGAATCTATAAGGGCGCCTACTCTACTTCTAAAAACCTCTACGTCAACTAACACTAGATGCCCTGTACTATCTTTCTTCATTTTGGCCCAGGCTGGCATCCTCTCCTTCAACTTTTCTGCCACGCCTGTGACGGAAGTGCCTAGAGAGACGCTAACACAAGCGGTCTTTGGACAGCTAACTAGGCACGGGCCTGCAACCTCTGCCGAAGGCTCATGTGGTGTGGGAGTTTCCTGTACACGCGCGCTCGCTTCCCCGCATGGCCTAATAGTAGGGGCAGTTGCAACCCCTACCGACGGCTGCCTTTTGACTCTTGGGCAGCCCATCGGGCCTATCTGTACTTAGGACAATATTTGATAATATGGGCAGGGTCACCGCAGTAAATGCACTGCCCCTGATCCATGCGTTGTTGCCACACTTTCTGGTCCAGGCCCAGATCTTCCCAAGGCCGGCCTTGTGGCCAACCTGGGTGCCAACCTCCTGAACTTTGAGGAGACCTACCACCTCGTCGCTGTGGGGACCGACTGGGACCTTGACGATTTGGCGGGGGACCTTGACCCCTACCTCCCACTTGACGGTTCCCTTGACCGCCAACCCCCTGTGCGCCCGATCCGGCCTCCCGTGGCCTGGCCCCTTTGGCCCTATCCTCCTCCTCTACTTTGCGGCCTCCCTCAACCACGACAGCAGCATAGGTCCTCCCCTGGCCTACACTTCTGTCCTCCTCCTCAAGCCCCCACTCAATCTGACTATAGGGGACTTCGTTTGTACCACCTTCGTCTAAAGTAAGGATCAAATGATCCTTGGCCTTGACCTGGCCAGAGGTGGTACGACCTTTCCACTTTTTTCCCTTATCTAAGTCTTTATGCCAGAAAGTGGAAACTGGCATAGACCTCGCCTCGAACAGGACCACTTCCCTACTCAACGCATCATATGTGATGTTCGCCTATTGGGTCTTGTCAAAGAAATGCCCTCGCAAGGGCTCTCGCATGGCACGATAAAACAATTGGACCAACTGGGTCTCAGTGACCCCATGGTCCGGGACGGCTACCAAGTCGTCCGTGACAGCTTTGAGTGCTCATGCACTCCTCCACTGTCACGAGTGGATCATTTGGTGTTTGTCAGAGGCCCTGACGCCTCTCGTGACGTCAGCGAATCTCTCACGCAGGAGTTTGAGGAAAGTGGAGAGAGGGGTCAACCTAGAATACGCAATCATGTTATGCTCGCAATCAGCAGCGCGCACAAGGGACCTGGCGAAGCTAGCCACTTCGTCCTTCAACGCGTGGAAGCCTACGAGGACTTGCTCCTCGGGGGCGATGTGCTGCAAATAAACATAAGCGTTCACGCTAGCCTCCCAATTGTCAAAGCTATCGTCCTTCTTCCCGCTGTAGGAATCAGGAAATTTGAGCTTTACAGGCAGCCTTCCTTTAGCTTTCTGACTTCGGTCCGGACATGGGTTACCACGTCGCGCGCAAACTCTTTGAACCCAGATCGGATGGCATGAAGGGTCACATCTCGACCCTTATTAGCCTGGTGCTCCTCGAGTCAGGCCTCACTCAGAACCTCCAAGTATCCCAAAATCTTATCTAACTTCGCAGGGGTTTCGGCCTGTGTCTGAACCTCCTGCCTGCATGCCCGAACTCTCTCCACCTCTTTGGCCACCCGATTGGTTTCCTCCCTCCTCCTCTTCTTCTCCCTCATCATACGTAATTTCCACTCGAACTTCTTTTCGTCTTCTATTGTCAAGTGTTCCAGGGGGTTCTCTATCGCCTCGAATTCCCTGGCGAATACTTCCCTCTCCTCCTGCGGCACGTACAACAGTGCCTCTTCGTCTTCACCCAACGATAAGTTAGCCACCCACTCGCTGATCGTCTTCTCCATCCATGCGTCCTCTCCCTTCGTGCCACTTGTCTCTCCTCTATCTCCCCCACGCCTTCTTTCAAGGGGATCTTCTTCCACTTCCTCCTCTTCTGCTGCTGCTTCTTCTTCGGCAGCCTTCCTCTTCTCTTCCTCCTCCCACTGTAACTTCAACATCTCCTCCTTTTGTAACCTCATCATTTCCTCTTCTAACCTCTTCTTCTTCGCCACCTGTATCGCCTTTAACTTTGCCTGCTTGAGGAGCTCTTTCTTCTCTTTTCTCTCTCTCAGGATGGCGGCAATCCGGGTCTGTTCGGCCTCGGACTGTGGGGTAGTGCTCGTTCCAATACGTGTCTCAACCATGGCGTCAGGTGCACAACCGAACAACTATTCCACTCCTCACCACTTAGACTCTACCCCCCCAACTGACAATACCTACTGACTCAATCTAAAGACTTACAGAATCCATACAGGATCCTATCAACTAGGGCCTCTAGCCTAGACCTACTCTAAGGCTGTCACTAAAGACTTACACAATCCAGACAGGATCCTGTCAACTAGGGCCTCTAGCCTAGACCTACTCTAAGGCTGTCACTACAGGACCTGTTGCTGATCAGGAGGCATTTAAGGAGATCCCCCATAACTCCTCAGGAATTATTTAACGTCGCAGACAGGACGACGCAATCAGCCGGTCCTCTCAAGACTTAGATGGCCTGTTGTGCAGCCCACAACTCCGATTTTGGGCCTACCGTGCCACACCGAGCAGCCCGCCGGTCAGTACCGGTCCTTGGGAGGGTTCGTGTCCTCCGGGACAGTCGAGTCGTCAGACACAGTCTTTAGGCCTACTCAGCCCGTGTGGGTTTGGTCAACAAGGCCCTATCCTTCATCCACAGAGTTCCTATCACCTGGACAGAAGAGACTCAATGCAGAAAGAAGAGACAAACAAACTTGACTCATCAAGTACCACAGGGTGTGTGCACATCCATAGGGTGAGGGGATAGGCTGAAGGCTTAGCGAGATTATACCGGCTCCAGCTTGGTCAATGTCGTGGTCAACGGCCTTGGTCAACGCTGCAGTCAACCCCCGGTCAACCCCCGGTCAACTCCGGTCAACGCCCTGTCAACTCCTGGTTAACGCCCGGTCAACTCCGGCTATGGCGTCCGGCTCCTCCTTCGTTGCCACCCTTCTCCTTCCTTTCTCCTTCCTCGCCTCCTTTCTCTTC